ACCGGTCGACTTGCATCGTCTGAAATATTGGAAACTAAGATACTCAGAAGGGAACTTAATTATATGAAGAATACAATAGGCATGCTAGTATAATACAATTTCTGTTCAGATCATAGGTATGAGCATCTAGAATAACCCCATAGGAATCTCAATCACATAAGTCTCTGGAGCTTTTCTTCCTGCTTTTAGTCAGGCTAATGCTTTTAGTAAGGCGATGCGCAATTTCCTTACCATGGCAAAAGAGGAAAATATTGAAAACCGGAAAAGAAGGATCTGCGACCAAGATCAAAGCCGAACCATAAAGTGGGTCTTCACACAAGAAAACCCATCAATCTAATACATTGAAAGAATGATCAACAATTTTGGGGCGTGGGTATGCTCAGTAATAAAAAATTGACCTGAAAACTTAGATGAGTAAGACATATGGTAATAAGATGACGTTCAAGACGTTTCCATTAATCTGACCAGCACTAGAAGGGTACATAGGTGAATGAAATTGGACGTCGACTCGACACGCAGATATTTACTTTAGACCGAGCTCGTCCATGAATCCGTCACTTCTGTTGCATCCGTAAGTCAATTCTCAAAAAATTAGGATAGTTAAGAAAATTAGTATAAGTGTGCAGTTTTGCTTGCTCACAGAATCATGCGTACGAATGTTACGATGGTTGCAAGAACAACATTAATCGCCACCGACGTCATTCATGAGCATGAAACAGATGCAAATCATGGAATTTGGATTCGTATTTTCATAAAAGGATGAGGCCTAGTGTTTCCAGGAACTAGTCAACCCCGCCTGAGAAATGCGACCCGCATTCGACTTGTAATCAGATTCATAGTGGAGTACTGGATGAGTTTGTGTCACGTACAACAACCTGCAGTAGCCAGCCGATGTACAAGACAGAGCTTTCAACCCTCGAACTAGTTTGGTACCAAGTAAGCCTGCGGAATGACGGAACGGTCGTTGGTTCGGCTTCCGCATCGATATCCGGCTTAGCTTGGTTAGCCAAGAAGGATATCGATCCGGAACTCGACACCGTGACCACGGGTGTGTCATAGTGCGCCACTTGCCACTATACTCCTCTGCCCCTGAATTCTTATTCATAGTCCAAAGGTTACAAGCGCAAGTTTTGTAGAGCTGTATGAGAACTGTCTGTAGTGGTTTGTGTAGAAGTACATTTCTTCTCAAGTGGACACTTACCTTGGCCATGAATTTCATGGACTGATCCTTTAGCAGCTCTATCCTTATCCTTACTATATATAAACCACT